GTAGGTCTTGTCAATTTCAGAGCCAATCCATCCGATCGAGCATGGTAGGAATTTAGGTTAAAAGTATATTTCATTCCAGTGGCGGTCAGAAACTTCCGTTTTTCTTCACCCCACTACATAATTAGAATTAAGTGGCCGAGGGTTTTTAAGAATTAAATGCTTACATGAGTGGAAGCTTATCAGTTAATTTTCCTAATGACGAATTCACAAGAAGTGGGAAGAGCTGAGAGGAGACGCGGAAAAGAAGAGAAAGAAGGAGACATTCGCTATATTTCAGAGCCTAAATCTGTTTAACCATTTAAACTAGAATGGTGGAAATGATGTTGAACTAAAGAGGATGTGATTTATTTATGTACTCAGAATCTCTCCTGCTAAGATTTCATTATTTTCAATTTGTTTAACTTCTATGTTGGTCTTAACATATATTATTACTTCTACAGATCTGTTATACAATCTACAGTTATAAAACAAATTATATCTATCTATCTGATATCAATTTACTATTTCATATTTCAGCCACAATTAATACATCTACTTTATATTCAAATTTATAGATTACTAATTCCGTCAGCTCAAATGTATCGTTAATGCTTCGAATACTTATTTGTAATGATCTTATTTCTTGATTTCTAGTAGTGTGTGCTTTTACATTTTTGTTTTGTGTAATAATTGTTTCAATATGGGTGTTAGATATTTATTAAAGTAAATTTTACCTTAGTTGAATTTTAACCTATATCAATACTTGTTATATTATAATTATTATTATTTTTGCATATAAGGGATGACGTATTTTCAACTACGTTCACAAATGGAGTGACTTTAATTATCAACCAAAAATAAATGATTTCTTCTTCACACTCACATATATTCAGGATGTTATTTCTGTTCTCATCTTAAGAGTACTAATAAAGTGATTTTTTTTTCGTTTGGTACTTTAAGAAGATTGTTGTTCCCATCTAGCTAATAAAATAGTAGCCATTCCCACCTAGCTAATAAAATAGTAGCCATTCCCATCTAGCTAATAAAATAGTAGCCATTCCCACCTAGCTAATAAAATAGTAGCCATTCCCATCTAGCTAATAAAATAGTAGCCATTCCCACCTAGCTAATAAAATAGTAGCCATTCCCATCTAGCTAATAAAATAGTAGCCATTCCCACCTAGCTAATAAAATAGTAGCCATTCCCTTTATATGAATTAAAACAAATATTTACCATAGATACTTAAAGCATATTTTCATCCTCCCCTTGGCATACATAGCAAGTATATTTCATTCTCATTTATCGCACTAAGCAAATGGTTTTCGTTTTTACTAATAGACAAGCAAACTGTATTATCATTTATGTACATCAATCAAGTTATTTCAACTTTTACTAACGGATACATCAAACAAAGGAATTTCATTCTGATTTAGGCACACTAAGTTAATGATTTTTATTTTTAATAATAGGAACATAAAAGAGGTGGATTTCAAATTCATTTAGGTATACTAATTAAATAATTTTCAATTTTACAATTAGGTACTTTGGGGAAGTGAATTTAATTTTTCATACTAAGTAATGATTTCCGTTTTTACCATTAGGTAAACTGCGTTTTCCATTTAGGCACCCGACCCCCAGTGGTACAGCGGCATGTCTGCGGACTTATACCGCTAGAAACCGGGTTTCGATACCTGTGGTAGGCAGAGCACAGATAGCTCTTTGTGTAGCTTTGTGCTTAACTACAAACAACAAAAATACTTAGGCACACTAGTCTAATGATTTCCACTTTTAGTAACAGGTATATTAAACAAGTGAATTTAATTCTCATTTAGACACACTAGTCTAATGATTTCCACTTTTAGTAACAGGTATATTAAACAAGTGAATTTAATTCTCATTTAGACACACTAGTCTAATGATTTCCACTTTTAGTAACAGGTATATTAAACAAGTGAATTTAATTCTCATTTAGACACACACAAGTCTAATGATTTCCACTTTTAGTAACAGGTATATTAAACAAGTGAATTTAATTCTCATTTAGTCTAATGATTTCATCTTTTTACCATTACGTATTTTAAGCAAGTGAATTTCTTACTTATATACACCAAACTAATGATTTCTATTTTTACCTGCAGGTACATACACCAAATAAGTAAATCCCACTATAAATTACGAGCACATAGCAAATTGTTTTTTTTATTTTTACAAAGATTTTGTAAGCAAAGGATTTCTACTTTGATTCCTTTATACTTAGTAAATATCTTTCATGATATCCGTAATTGATATGGATACGCGAATTGTGAATTATATTAAGTACTTAATATCTGTCGTTGAAAATAATCTACTGTTTATAATTATACTGATTATACATTCTTTAACATAATATGAATTTTAATTATAGCAAAAACTTATTTACATTATGTCAAACCAAATCCTGCTTTTCTGTTGCCAACAGAAGAGCATAAGCCCCAGTCTACTCAGAAATGATGGGTTTTTGTACACTAACACCCTTCAATTCGGTCAAAGCAAAGTGGCCGTATCGTTTTACATTAGATACGTACCCCATATGAACTAGAAACACTAACAGGCCTTAGTTATAATACAGAAAACTTAGTCGTTGACCATTTTTTATCATTAACTTCGTTTGGTATGACTCCTCTTATCAGGTCAGCAGCTTTTTCTCCAATCATAATCACTGGTGCATTGGTGTTTCCAGAAACAATGGTCGGCATAATAGAAGCGTCCGCCACCCGTAAGCTTTTTATCCCTTTCACTCTGAAACAGGAAAAATTGGTTAATTAAGAACTGATTAATTATAAATAGCTTTGATAGCCAGGGATCTGCACAATGACATCACAGGAGGTTCGGCAAAATGAGATTAGCTACAACAATGCTTTCGTAATGACATCACAGGAGGTTCGGCATAATGAGATTAGCTACAACAATGCTCTCGTAATGACATCACAGGAGGTTCGGCATAATGAGATTAGCTACAACAATGCTTTCGTAATGACATCACAGGTGGTTCGGCATAATGAGATTAGCTTCAACAATGCTCTCGTAATGACATCACAGGTGGTTCGGCATAATGAGATTAGCTTCAACAATGCTCTCGTAATGACATCACAGTAGGTTCGGCAAAATGAGGTTAGCTATTTATAGCTGGAAATGAATTATATTTACTTAGTGAACTAGCTTTCAAAACCACGAAAGATACATTTTAATGTTTTCCGGCAGTTCTCCTTAAAATAAGGTCTATGTGAATGAGAGAATTCGCACTAAACCAGTAACTATGGGCTCAAAGCGGTTCTACTTCCATATTTTTGCTATATATAACACGGACTTGAGATATTAACTGCCGCAGTTTCGTCATTAGTGTTTTGTTTGGCTGTTTCAAACAGGTTGCATAGAGACAATACTACTTTTGAGTATTTTTACCAAGTTCGTAAATTCAGCTTCACTCCTCCACTGATCTCTTTACTGAACTGTATTAAGCAATGACCTTCTCACGTGAAGTCACTAGAAATTATAAAGTTTGTCTCTTGTCGTACGTTCAGTTGTTAAGATAATATGTAGAGTTTTGAAGTTGTAGGGCGAGCATGTTTGGAGATTGCGAGTCAAGCGCCCTAACCACCTGGCCAGGCTGGGCCAGTAAGATATAAATAAATTAAAATGCGCATATTGAAGTGACAACAATACCGTAAAAACTGAGATCACCGAATTTGAATGAGTGAAATTATTTCAACCATCACTTGGATATCCTTTACGTTAACAAAGTAGCACTCGCCAACAATATGGCTACCGCTTGAGGCCAAGTGTCAATACAGTGATACTAGCCAATGGACAATCCAGTTCTGTATAGAGATCAGCACGCTCCTCACCTTATGTTTCGCAGCGACCTCTGTATTTTAAAAGTAAAGCCAACATATTCAGAAATGCAGTTTTCTTCTATAAAATATTTCAAGGCTATGTTTTATCAAACACTAGGTTACACTTCGTTTGTTACGGAAGTAACTGTTATACGATATACTGTTGTTATGAAGCATTGTGGAAAAGCATAAAATAGCTTTTATACTTTAATGCGAGCTTCCTAGAAGATTCAAATTAGATGACGAGGAACCCACTCTGAGAGTAATAATGCTTAGAGACGGCTTGAATGGGTAATGAAGAAAAACTTTAATATAAGTTATGTTATGCTGTTATATTAAAGTTTATCTTCATTATCCATTCAAGCCGTCCCGAAGCATTATTCCTAGAAGATGTTAGTAATTAAAGTTGAACTAGAATAAAGTCTGTACATCAGATAGCTTTGTTTACTTGATACCATGCAATATCGAATAGTTTTAAATAGCTATGTATAATTGGTGGATATATGGAAAGAGGGACGGTGAACCAATAATGTAATTACATAAAACGCTACAGAGACACATACTTGAACAAAATGGTGCTAAAAAAAAGAAACTTTATTTTTTGAATGATGTTGGACCTTCACAAGAAAGATGTCAAAGGCACAAGAAAGGTAGAGCAACATGGACTTTTTGTGGATTTAGGGGATTGACAGAAAGAAAAAAAGTAGGAGGAGAAATGGAGTTGACACTTGATCTTATGTTTATTCCTAACTGGATGAGAAGGTTTATCAATCCAATTATGCGTGACATTCACAGTGTAGCATAAGTCTTGAGCGATGTCGGATGCTGACATTTACCAAAACTTCTGAAAGGTACAATTAGTCACCGCACCAAATTTTGGTGAGCACGAACGCCTTCTATCAACAACACTGTAACTGCGGATGTGATTTAATGTGTGGGAATTCGTGTTATTTGTTTGCGATTTGCTGAATAAAATTGGACAAGAAATTCGGCCAGCTCAAACGATCCTAATTCCAATCATTATAACAAATTAAGAAGAAAAAGAAAAAAGAGAGATTGAGAGGTAGACACTAAAAAAAACAAAAAGAGAAATAAAAAAGAGGAACCATATACCGTAATTTGGAGTCCACGACGGTTGTTGGGTCAGAGGGATCTCCCATCTTACAGGTCCCCACAGGATGGTAGATGGTAATAGAATAGGTTTTAGCTACACATTCCAAATAATCGTCCCCCCACATCTGGTGTTTCTCACAGCCTGGGAAAGGAGGCTCAAAAAGGGTAGTATTAAAGGCTTTGAATGGCTCAGACAAACCCACGTTAATGCTAATCTTCAGAGCTAAAGATAAAAGAATAAAAACAGTATCATATTATTATTAGTTGAAAGAACAAACATGAAAATAACAGATATGTTAACCATGAAATTGTTTCCGGTTTGTAAAAAACAAAACAAAAAAAACATAAAAGAAACTTTGTATTTTGCTAATTCTGAGAAGAAAAAAAAAACCAGACTTCATAACCGACTTTCAACCAAATAATCATTATAAAATCCCTTTGTTTACTAGCTCTTAACAAAAGAAACATAATATCGTTTTATTTTCTGGCTTATGATAAAGTAAACATTATGGTATGTCTTTTATTTCCCGGCTGTTAACAAACGTCATGAGATCGCTCTACTTTCTAGGTGTTATCAGAGTATAAGCCAGTATAAGTCAGTTACTTGATCACTGAAAAATAAAACGTTATTGTCTGTGTATTAAGTGGTTTAAAAATATTATTCGTGTATCAAAACGAGACATGTTCGATTTTTTTTCTTCTGGAAAGTAAGCATGTTAACATGAACATTATTCTTGGTTTCATATAGCAATATATTCTCTATTATAGTATTATAAAATTATATGGCTACATTATTCTGTTTATTGAAAAAGTAACTAACACGTTTATATGCGGATATAAACAAAAGATTTACATCATCCTAGAATTTTAAGGATGAGACATAATTAAAATGTGATCATAATTTAGATCATTTACTTAGTATCTCTTAATAAAAAACAAACTGTAAAATAATATCATCAAAGGCTACCGGAAGCTATAATATTACTACTTAGTATTTGCAGTGCATTCCATTATTTTTCAAGATTTCCCTAAGCCTCTCAGGCCTGGACTTAGTAAGGCATTGAAGGATCGTATTATTCTTTACAGTTCCCTACGCAGTCTTCCAACGTAACGCTCTTCATCAGGTGTCCTTCGATTTGTAAGCAAGATTTGATAATTCTAGGGCGATGCAAAACTGTTGGCCACAACCACGTCTTCACGTCATAAACTCCATAAGACTCTTCAGGATAACATTCATAATACGGCTATCCTGTTCTAACTTAGAACAAAAAGGCTCTAATACAGTTCATAAAACACGTGATAAGATACTTTTTATAACTAACCCATTTCTTTCTTATTGTTCAAATCGAAAAAACTTCAATATATATATATATAATGCATTTGATAAAATATTTCCCCAAAATGGGACATCTTTATCTTCTATTGGTAAACTAAGTAAATTAAAGTGACATTGTACGTTGACTTGCTCATACGTGCACTGGTTGATAGATTTGCTTCTTTTTTTTTTTCGTAATGGCATTTCACCCTCTTCAACTTTGAAAAAAAAAAGTGTCTTCCTGGTGACGGACGAAGTTTTAAAATCTATCCAATACAACTCGTTTGTTCTTTTTCTCTTTTAAAATATTTCGGGAAACAGAAGGTACAAAGACATACCTTCTCAAAGTGTCTTTATGTCGTCTGGATGATTGAAACAGATACAAACACACACCTTCTCGAAGTGTCTTTATGTCGTCTGGATGGTTGACTCAGATACAAACACATGCCGTCTCGAAGTGTCTTTATGTCATCTGGATGGTTGAAATAGATATAAATACATACCTTCTCGGAGT